GGGGGGGGGGGGGGTTTCTCATTTTAGTGATCTACAGCCTACCCTAGAGGTAAGAAACAAGTAGGTGGTTCATGGTTGAAGTAAGTTCAGTGTGTAGAGTGAAAGTTCCAACTATGACATTGTTGCTCCAAAAATTGTTATCTATAGAACAACTTGATCAGCTACCCTACCGCTGGATCATCCTAGTGTATGATTTTTGGGGGACTGGTTATGTTTCAATTAATGTAGTATTGCTATTAGTCCAACCTCTCAGCTTGGCATTGATGGAATTGTTATCTCTACTTCCTGAAGTTATTGAATGCCTCTTTGGGTAGGTATAACATTGATAGATTGTGACATGGAGTAGATGTCACATGATGCTCATGAAAATTTATTCATTTTGTTCAATTTTTATTTGTGCTGACATTGGTTGTCTTGTGATTTTACGCAGGAGGTCGTTTGGATTTTTCTAACTGTCAAAGTTGAAACTACTGTCCTGTGCAAGAAACGAACAAATCCCACACCTGGTATACCCAAGGTTCTGGCTTATTCTATATTATTCTGAAACGTAAAAATTATTTATTGAAAATTATATGACAACACCATGGATGCGGTTTTTGTGGAGTATCCTTGTTTTCCTCTTCTTTTGTTAGTCGCAAATTGGTTGACTCTGAAGCTACAAGAGAGTGATGCTTGTTGTGTCCTCTTTTGTTTTTTTAAAATTTTTTAGAATCTTTGTTTGATAATGTAAATCCCAGACTGTTTGTCTTCTTTGTAATGGCCAAGCTCTAATTAGAAAGTGCTTATTTGATTTGGTATGCTTTCTGAATTGGATTTGGTCTTCTTGTTGTGATGAAACTATGTGAATACATGTCTATTATTCTTTGAGCACTACTATAGGGATCTAATTTGGGGACCTAATTCAATTCAGCCAATGAATTAATTGTAAGTTTCCATATTAGATGGAACCAACTTTCAATCCAATAGTTGCATTGGATTATGTCCCGAGAGGTTCCTAAATTAGGTTCAAATAACATTTTCGTTATTCTTTATTTCTGAGGTTCATTTAATGGATCCTAAGAATGGGAATCTATGGGCTCTTTAGATGGTGATGTTGAATGCTTAATTGTTAGAAATTGTTGATTTATAGGGGGTTGGTTAGTACAATAAAAGATGAAAATAGAATGATCAAGGTTTGGGATGTTTAAGGTTTTTTGTTTTTCTTTTTTCCCATGCATTCTAGCAGATGATGGGAATTGATACTAGTAATAAAAGTGTTTTGAGTATTGAGCTGGCTGGGCCCTTTCTTAAGACAGGTGATAGTTGGTGGGTCCTGGCCATTCCTGATGATAATAGATAGATGAGAACAGTGATCAACAAGCTCAAGTTAGCTTGACTTGTACATGTCCTTGAGCTCTGGACACCATGCTATAGCCTATTATGGACTTTCAGATATAGCACTTCTAGTAATGGACCCAGTAATAGACGGTCATGATTTTCGGGTTTTGTAACAGGGGACCATATGTTCATGCGACTTTGCGAAAAGAAAGAAAAAGGATAGAGGAAGCATTGGCGTAGATATATGGGGAAGAAAGGGAACCGTAAAAGAGTGGGGAAGGGTGTAAAGGTCCAGTGTTAGATTAGATATGTGTAATCGTGTGGGTCATAGTCACATGCCTAGCACCCCACTTCCTCCCCCCCCCCCC